GATGGGATGCCCAGAATGAGAAATGTATGTGAATGAAGACTAAAAAGAGCATGCAGCAATCATCTCAAAGGTCCAAAACTGTTTTATTCACAAATTAAAATATGTACAGCCAACGTGTTTTGGGGGTCAGGAATTACCCTTCATCATGGCTGTAATTCTGTGCACAGGACAGAAGCACTGTGTGTACAACCCCAACGCACCTCACAGAGGCCGCAGCAGAGGGAATGCACATTTAGAATGATTTCCCACCCGCAGAACGCCAAGATGGCTGTGGACACAGCCTTATACAGGTGAAACTCGAATAATTAGAATATCGTGCAAAAGTAATTGCAGTAAGTTCTGCAAAAGGGGCCCAAACCAAGTACTGAGTACATATGCATGCTTGTACTTTTCAGAGGTCCGATATTGTTCTATGTACAATCCTTGTTTTATTGATTGCATGTAATAATCTACTTTTTTGAGGTTGTGGATTTGGGGTTCTTGGGGTTTTCATGAGCTGTAAGCCATAATCATCACAATGATGACAAATCACGGCTTGAATTATCTTGCTTTGCATGTAATGAGTCTATCTCATATATTAGTTTCACCTTTTAAGTTGCATTAGTGAAATAAATGAACTTTGCACGATATTCTAATTATTCGAGTTTCACCTGTATATAGGACCCAAATGACGTGAGGCTGAGGTCATTTTAAAATAAGGTGGATGTTTCAGGGCCCATTTACACTGTTGTGCTTCAACAAACGCATTGCAATGTGCTGAAATGCATGTGGCCAAATTTTGCCTAATAAAAAACGTGAGCTGAAACACATGGCAGTGCACAAACAAATTGCACATTGAAGCATGTCAATGCACCTGCCTAAGGTGACAAAGTGACGCACCTCTACACAGGCGCCTAGATCTAAATGGGCCTTAAAGGAAACCTGCACTAAGCGAAAAACATAAGCCGCTGATCTCCTGCTGAAAATGCCAGTTTGCTGGCTGCCTTTCAGTCCCAGGGCTCCAACACTGACTGGGACTGTGCAGGCAGCAATTAAAAGTAATTGGACCACACTTTCTGTGTTGGAGACCCAGAAGAACTGAAAATGCAGAATTGACACCAGCAATGAGCATTTTCAGGAAGAGAGATTACCATGGGCATTCTACAAATTTTCTTGGTACAGGTTTACTTTCAATTAAAAAGCTAAAAGCGGATTTCTCTTTTATGTCCCTTTTTTTTTGGCGAAAAGGTGGAGTTGCACTTTAACAATGGCTATCTGGAAGCAAACCTCCATTCCCCTTTATGGAAGATCTCTTCGGCTTACTGAATAAACACACAACGG